CCCCAGGCGATGCTTGATGATGAAGTCGAACTCTTGCAGCTGCATAGCCCAACGCACGTTGCGGCTATCAGCGTCTGATTGCTCATGAGTCAGAGGAGCGATTGATGATCTGTCACGAGGGTGAACTCCCTGCCTTGCAATTACACACTGAAATGTGTGACCGCCCACACCGCCACCAAGCCTTCCCCCTCGCACGAGCTGTAGTTAGATTGTGCCGCGTTGCATTCTCGGCTGGCAAATGCCACTACTTGTTCCCCTACTTCTGTCTGCTGGCAGAGCACGGCTCCCATGCCTGCACTGCTCCAGTCCATGTAGGGGGTGAACCTCCTGTCCGGCTTGGGCAGCTGCAGTACTGGCCCGGATTTCACTACTTCCACCAGCTCCTGTAGTGCACCCTGCTCTACCTTGCCCCACGTCCACGCCATGTCTTCTCACAACAGCTGATTTAGGGGCGTCGCGCGCTTGCTAAAGTTTAGGACAAACGTCCTGTAGTAGTTTAGGAAACCCAAGATGGCCCTTAGTGTGCTGTGACTATCTAGTATGGCCAGCCGGTCCAGCACTGCCACTTTCGCTTCCTGGATACTCATGCGCACTCTGCATTATTCAAAACCGAGGTACTGCATGGTCAGTGAGCCGAAGTGATATTTCTTGAGGTGGCAGGTCCTGCGGATTTGATGGCTTCCAGCACCTCCTTGACGTCTGTGACATGCTGTTCGCCTATCGTGCTGAACACGACGACGTCGTCAATATAGCAGGCTGGACATTGCTATAGGCCCCATAGCACGCGGTCCATTGCTCGCTGGAGGACTACTGACGCGTTTTCAGTCCGAAGGGCATGAAAAGCCATTCATAGAGCCCGTTTGGCCCGTGAAAGGTTGTCCTGCACACATCACCCTCTGCGATCTTGATCTGATTGAAACATTGGGGCTGATCCAAGGTGCTCAAGACGCAAGCTCCCTGCAGCTTATCAGAGACGTCTTCAGGGGTGCGGCTGGGGTAACGGTCTGCCACCATCATCTTGTTGAGATCCCGGTAATCTCCACACATCCACCGGGAGAGTGCACTCCGCGTCAGGTCCTTCCTCGCGGCAACCACTGTCGCCGCTGCATACTCTGACTCCGAAGGCCTAATTAGGCCCACCTCTAGCAGCTCCTTGCATTTCGTGGAGCAGATCTCCAGGTCCCCTGGGCTCATGCGCCTCTTGCGTTGGTACACCGGTATCTCCTCCATGAGCTTGATTTGCATCTCTCCCTGAGTGTACTTCCCCAGCTCCAGCAGCGTAAGCGCAAAGGCCTTGCGATTCTTCCTTTACACTTGCCACAGCTGAGCCTGGGCTGCACCTAGCACCCCTTCCCCTATCTCCCATTCCACTTCCTCTTCCCCCGGCCCGTCTCCCTCTTCTACCTCGTTGTGTCGTGCTTCCCTGTGTGCCTTGCTGACCGACTCCTGCCTTGGCCCCTCTCTGCGCTGCTCCTCTCTTGCCGTTGCTGCTTAAGACTGGAGTGGTGTTCCTCCCACTGGGACACCCGCGTCTGCTGTCTCAGTCTGACTTTTCTGGCTCGCCGCAGAGCAAGCGCTCCTTGCCTCTCCCTCCTCCCTGGCCGGTTCGACTTCCCTAGCCATCATGGCCCACCCCTTCTCTTTTCCCAGTGCCTCCCTTCGTGCCTTTTCCTCCACGCCAGGAGACGCGGTGGCGTCGGGAAAAAACCCCATGGCCAACTCCCTCTCTCTCGCCATGGGTTCCTCCCAAACCCCTCGCACGTTACCATAGACCATACCGGGCCCAGGCAATCCTTTGCTCCAGATGAACCAATAGGCTCCTTGGTATGTCACCAGCGTGGGCCAGGCTTCCTCCAAAACTGGGCTTTCTCGCCTCACAAAGTGCACTGGCAGTGTCCCGACGAGACCGTCATTCCTCCAGTATTGGGTGTGGTAGAGCACCTTCTCCTGCCAGGTGCAGATCGTGGCTCCGATGCGGTACAGTAGATCCATGCCTGTCAACAAATCGTAGTCCTCCGAAGGCGTCACCCCGCAATTCACGCGGACTATGCACTTGTCCTTGGTTCCTTGGCGCAAGATGACTTCCACCGGCTGCCTCGTGCACGCCATCCACTTCGGTTCGCCGCCTTCCGCGGTCATAACCAGGATGCCGCGGTCGTTCAAGCGATTGGGTAGGTCCAGCTCCAGCTTGTGCACAAGACTTTCCCAACAAAATATAGTGTGCGCCTGTGTCAATAATCGCTTGTGCCACCACGACTCCTCCCACGGTAATTCCCCCTTTTTCTATGGTCAGGACTGAGGGCTGGCACACCATCCACTCCTTGGGGTGATGTTCCGATGTCATTTCTTGCTCTGGCTCTACCGCGTATTCTCTGAAGCTTTGCATGCCTGTCACCTCTAGCTGTGGCCTTCTGTGGCTATCACTCCTGAGCTCGATCTCGACCCTCTGCCTTGGCGGGCGAACCATGAGCACGAACTCCGCCTCGCTGTCGTCACCCCCGTCCTCGTCCTTGGCCAGCATCGCTGCCTCTTTGCCCCCCCCCCCCCCCCCCCCCCCCCCCCTTCCATTTATTGTATTCTCGCCTGCAGCTGCTTCAACTGGATCTCCAGCTCTTCCTTGGTCCTGGGCCCTGCCGAGCCCGATCGGCGGCTGTAACAGTCCTGCGTGCGATGCCCGCGGCAGTTGCAGTTCTGACAGACTGGCACCTCCGGGCATTCCCTGCGCATGTGTCCTTCCTTCCTACAAAGGTCGCAGATAGGAAGCCTAGTGCAATCCCGCTGCAGATGTCCTTCTTGACCGCACCGGTGGCACCTCTGGGTCTCTCCTTCCCTTTCTCCCCTCCTGGGAGGGAGCTCCCCTGATGGCGCTGCCATCCATGCTGACCTCCACTTGCGTCTCCCCCTTCTCCATCTCATACAGACGCATGCCCAGCTCGTGCTTCTTTGCCAGCTCGTAGGCTTGCTCTAGCGTGGCCGTGGCTCCCATCTCAAAGATTCTTCCTCGCACTTCTCTCGCGAATTCTCTGCTCAGGCTCGTGAGGAACTTGGTGACCAATCTTCTCTCGTTGCGGGACTCCATGTCCGAGGCGAGCTCCCGCAGTCTCCCGTAACACACGAGCAGTGATTCTCCCTCTCGTCGGCAAAAGTCGGCGAACTCTCTCATGCACTGGGGCGTCTGCACCGGGAAGTGTGGTTGTAGCATTTCGAAAAACTGCGGCACCACCTCCCACGTGATTCCCCTTGTTCGGCCCGCCTCGCTGAGCAGACGTTCTAGCTCCAATCTATAGGCCATTGTTTCGGCTTCCCGTGTCAACGTGTTTGACAGCCCGCGGAAGAAATCTTTCGGCTCCAACCCGTCCTTCATCCAGCGATACTACACGTTTCGGATCTGCATCATGTAGTTGCGCAACGAGCTACCCAGTCCTGGTGTGCCAGAGAAGCGTTCCGGCACTTCGATCTTGGGAAGTGCTACGTATCGGGTGGAGGTGTGCGTGATTTCCGTGGGATGATGCTCCGACATCGAGATGCGCCGCGTCTGCGGCAGCAGGCCCGTGGTCGTCTCGCTCGCCTCCTGACTGTCTTCGGTCAACGACGTCGTTTCTGCTATGATTACCTCCGCAAAAGGTTGCTCCGTGAGCCCTCCTTGTCCTCCGCTGCCACCGCTCGGCAGGTCACTCATGCTGTGCCTCCGATGCGGCGCAGTGTACGGTTCCCTGCCAGGCGCAACTCCTAATGGTGGAGCCCTTGCTCCGCCTTCTGTTCCCGCCACTTCTCCAGCTCTTCATCCTGTAGTCGCCATTGGCGCAGGCTCGTCTGCAGGTTCGTACAGATTGCTCGATCTAAGCTGCATCCGCGCTCCTACCGTCGCAACTCTGGGCCCTCTCTTCTTTATTTGTCGGAAAAGCTCACTAACCCATATACTTGTCTAGCTGTTTGGCTTCCGCTTACTTGAGGCGGGTGTTTGGGTTAGCAGGATCCATTATCAGAAATGCAGAAAACAAACAAAGAAGCAGCGAGCTCAACCCCTAGGTCAAAGCTTTGTACAAGATGTTGCTGGCGTAGCACGGAACTCTAGCTGCTGAGCAAACACAAGCAGACAAACATCCATCAAGGTGACGAGAGGTTCAGGAGCGCCCGAGGCTATGTACAAGTCGCCAGCGGCTTGTGGTTGCATGGGTTTTTGCACAGGTGCAAGGCCCAGCTATCACGGCTCCAGCATGTGCTGTTGTGTTATTCACCAGCTGGCAGGCTGCTGCTCTTGTTCTCGTTTGCAGCTCCTCGCTATGGTTTGGTAGCACCTGCAGACACAGGAAAGGAAACAAGCTCATACCACGCGCATTCACACACCAATCCAACATGCCATGCTTATGTACAATGCACGTTCACACACCGCATTCCACACCTCATACGCAGCCCACTGCCCCTGCTTCCCCCCCAATTGTGCCTCATGCCTAGCTACAAGTCCAGTCGCTCCTGTACAGTGCGCTTCTCCTCACCTATGTCGTTTCTGCTGTTTCAGTATTACTCTGCCCGCCTGGTAGAGCTCTGCCGGTCAACACTGACACGTGGCAGACACTTATAGCTGACACGTGGCCCAGAGGCAGAAGCTCGTCCGAGTCTCCCCTCCACCTTGACGTTGGGAATCACAATGGGTGGGAGGCCCTGAAACGAGAGGCACGCATGGTTGGGAATGGGGCAGATGACAGGAGAGGTGGCGAGGGTGGGGAATGGGGCAGAGGCGCGGGAGAGGTGGGAGAGGAAGCAGCTCGTCCGAATCTTCCACCTTTCGGGAATCGCAACGGGTGGGAGGCCCTGATATGATATGGGAGGCGTGGTGGGGAATGGGGCAGAGGAGCGGGAGAGGTGGCGAGAGGGTGGGAGGAAGAGGAGGGAGGCATGGTGGGTGATGGGACTAGTGAGCAAGAGAAGAGGGACAGATGAAGGAGCCAAGAGAGGAAGGAAAGATAGTGTTGAGTCTACTGGGAATTGATCTCGGAAAATCATAGGGTGGAAAGAAGCGAGCCTTCCGCCTTGACGAGGGGGTCGAAACAGGTGGGAGGCAGGTGTGGTAAGGAATGAGCCAGAGGAGTGGGAAAGCTGGCGATAGGAAGAGGTGGAAGGGAGAGAGGAGGGAGGGAGAAAGAAGGGAGGGAGGGAGGTGGGAGGGAGAGGTGTGGAAGGGAGAGGTGAGGGAGGAAGAAGGTAGGGAAAGGAGTGCGAGGGAGAGAGAAGGAGTGGAGAAAGAGAGATTGGAGGGAGGGAGGGAGGGAGGGAGGGAGGGAGAGAGGTGGGAGGGAGAGAGGTGGGAGGGAGAGAGGTGGGAGGGAGAGAGGAGGGAGGGAGAGAGGAGGGGGGGAGAGAGGTGGGAGAGAGAGAGGTGGGAGGGAGAGAGGAGGGAGGGAGAGAGGTGGGAGGGAGAGAGGTGGGAGGGAGAGAGGAGGGAGGGAGAGAGGAGGGGGGGAGAGAGGTGGGAGAGAGAGAGGTGGGAGGGAGAGAGGAGGGAGGGAGAGAGGTGGGAGGGAGAGAGGTGGGTGGGAGACAGGAGGGGGGGAGAGATGAGACAGGAAGCGAGGAAGGAGGGAGGTGAGAGAGAGAGAGAGAGAGAGAGAGAGAGAGAGAGAGAGAGAGAGAGAGAGAGAGAGAGAGAGAGAGAGAGAGAGAGAGAGAGATGGCCTAGGCCTAGTCCTTAGCTGTTTTTCTGCCCTCTCTAGTGTAGGATCCAGTCCTTAGCCGTTTTTCAGCCTAGTACCCTAGTATAAAGTCCCTAGTTGCTCCCTTCCGAGCTCATTTTTCACTGGTGAGTTCAGTTTACTCTCCAAAACCGGCGGGTCGTTCGAGAGAGCGAGAGAGAGAGAGAGAGAGAGAGAGAGAGAGAGAGAGAGAGAGAGAGAGAGAGAGAGAGATGGCCTAGGCCTAGTCCTTAGCTGTTTTTCTGCCCTCGCTAGTGTAGGATCCAGTCCTTAGCCGTTTTTCAGCCTAGTACCCTAGTATAAAGTCCCTAGTTGCTCCCTTCCGAGCTCATTTTTCACTGGTGAGTTCAGTTTACTCTCCAAAACCGGCGGGTCGTTCGAGAGAGCGAGAGAGAGAGAGAGAGAGAGAGAGAGAGAGAGAGAGAGAGAGAGAGAGAGAGAGAGAGAGAGAGAGAGAGAGAGAGAGAGAGATGGCCTAGGCCTAGTCCTTAGCTGTTTTTCTGCCCTCTCTAGTGTAGGGGAACAGGAGACTCTGAATTGCCAAAACGATCTCGACCCTGAGCTAAGTGCAAATTGCAAATCACAATTTCGGGTTCTGCTCGCGAATCAAAACCAGGGATACCCAGTTTCGGTGAACTCGCTATTGTGAAATGAATGCGATGGGACCCCGTCTCTAAACACCCCCCAAACTCGACCTCCTATTTTAGGGAGGCCACTAATTTAGGGCTGGTGTCAATACGGAAACCCTACTACAGCATGCGAACTTCTCGTTCAACACACCTGGTTACAAGAAAGTCACAACCTTGAACGATGCTATATGTCAGCTCGTTTCAACATCGATACATATCGAGCGACTCTGTGTCGAAGCACAAATTCTCAACTTGGACAATTTTGAATCAGCTGGACCAAGTTCGCTGGATACCAAAGGCACCAGTCCCAGTTCGAAGCACTCACGAAACCAAACATTCGACCGACTGCCCCGGGCTGACGTGGTATGCGCTGATTCAGTTAGTACTAAAAATTCGCAAGGAACCTCACCTAAAAACTTCGCACTTTCCCAAATGCGAATCGCGTATCATCCGCGCCTCGATTTCACACTCGAACCAATTTTGGCACTAGGATTCAAGTTTGTCTCTCCCCAAATCTAACATAAATTCCCCTCGACACAAGCAGCAATAGTCAAACCAGCTTCATTCTTCTGCCATCAGCAGCCAGCCCGCTTTCCAGCTTGCGCTCAGCCCACCGACAGCATCATGGCTGCTCTCTCCTCCGCCACCTCTGCTTCCGCCGCTTCCTCGTTCGTCGGCTCGAGCTCGGAGCTCGCTGTGAAGGTCCGCAACGTGGAGTGTCGCGTCACGATGCGCAAGACCGTCAGCAAGGCCGCTGACAACCTGAGCCAGTGGTACGGCCCGGATCGCAGCCTCTTCCTCGGTCCGTTCAGCGCGCCGCCCGCGTACCTGAAGGGCGAATTCCCCGGTGACTACGGGTGGGACACGGCGGGGCTGTCGTCGGACCCCGAGACGTTCGCCAAGAACCGCGAGCTGGAGGTGATTCACTCGCGCTGGGCCATGCTCGGCGCGCTTGGCATCGTCTTCCCCGAGCTGCTGGCGCGCAACGGCGTGCCGCTGCAAGAGGCGGTGTGGTTCAAGGCGGGCGCGCAGATTTTTTCAGAGGGAGGGCTCGACTACCTGGGCAACCCCGCGCTCATCCACGCGCAGAGCATCCTCGCCACGCTCGCCGTTCAGGTATGTTCGCTGTTCAGGTCTCTCTTACCTTTCCTTGATGCGCTTGCCGCGCTCCGTTAATCTGTAATTTTTATGTCCTCTCTTCTCACATTCCCTGCTTCGGCCCCGTCATTTCCGTCAAGACCCTTTCCTCGTCGTTAAATATCGCGAGTTTGCGCGAAACACACGCGCTCACGCATCTCTGTGAAACGTGGTAACCCGATGCGTCGTTCCCCAGGTGGTGCTGCTGGGCGCGGTGGAGAGCTACCGCGTGGGTGGTTTGGAGGGGTTCCAGGAGGTGGAGGATCCGATCTACCCGGGCGGCGCGTTCGACCCGCTGGGGCTGGCGGACGATCCCGACGCGGCGGCGGAGCTGAAGGTGAAGGAGCTCAAGAACGGGCGCCTCACACAGGTGTCGGCGCTGGGCTTCTTCGTGCAGGCCATCGTGACGGGCAAGGGGCCCCTCGAGAACCTCGCGGACCACCTCGCCGACCCCACCGCCAACAACGCGTGGGCATATGCGCAGAACTTCGTCCCCGGCGCGTAAAGGAGTGGAGAGGGGTGGAGAGAGATTTGACGAGCTCAGATGGAGTTTATGACCTTAGTAGCTTCGGGCTTTTGAGGGGCATAGGTGTACAGCTGGTGAAACTGAACATACCTGTATAGCTGTAAAGCCAGGACTTCTGTGTGTTGTGTGTTTTGAGAGTTTTTGCATGTGTGTCTGAACCATTGCACCTCATTCTGAGATTTTATTCTACACAACACAACTGCCAGGGCTGAAGCAAAACTGTCGTGTCGCTGACTTGGTAGCTCTGATACTGCCAGAATGGAACGTATTGCTCCCTTGGGCCTAAACAACCCATACTGTGTACCTGATCTGTGATGTCTAGCATTCTCTCGGCGCAAACCTTGGTCTTGGCTAGGCCATATGTCTAACACATGTCTCGCACATAACTGCTGTCATCCTGTCCATAATTTTCCCTTCAACCCAACAGAAATATGTACATATATTTACAGAACAGCATGCATGGTATGGTATTCTGTGCCCACAAGTGACACATTGCACCTATCAGATACATCGAACACCCCTCACAATCACACCAGCACGAATCAACTCTCTCCGAACCCTTTCCGAGACTTCCACCTTCAAGTACCACAATCTAGGGAAGCTCCTAAGCACACCTCCAATGCCTGCTGCCATGACCTTATCACACATGACCACCGTCAAGCTAGTGAGCGTTCCCAGTCTGCTTCCCACCACCACTGCATCTGAAAACTTGTCACTATGTTGCACCGTAAACTCCTCCAGCTGAACACATGCCGCAAGCAATTCAAGCCACTCCTCCTCTAACCCCGAGCAGAACAACAGCGCAAGCCGCTTGAGCTGTCCAAAAACAGCCGCTCGAGCAATGGACTGGAAGGACATTGGCCGAATGCGTGGGACTGAGGCAGAGGAGGAGGAGGCGAGGGACGCACAGGAGGAGGAGGATGAGAGACAAGAATGGGAAGGTGGTGGTGGAGGGGGTGGGGAGAGGTACATGCGAGGAGATGTGCAGGGGCAGCCAAAGAACACAGAGAGTGGAGGAGAAGTGGAACAATTTTAGGGTCAACGATTCCAGTGGAGGGCACAACACTTGCACAGGGATTGCTGGCTGAAAGCCTTTAGCACTATTGCCTCCTGACTCGCTGCTGCTTAGTTTCTCACACTCTGCTGCCGCATTTCCTGCTGCCGCCTCCCCTGCTTCTTGCAGAGATTAACTCTACAACGGTTGTGAGCTAGACTACAGGGGTTGGCACGAACTACTAGAGGTGATCTTAGCTTTGCTTAATTCCTTAGTGTTTGCACATTCACGGAAGGATTTGGCAAGAGTTTCCACTAGCAAAGTTGGAATTCCAGAATGATACAAGAAGCAATGACAACAATGACTACATCAGGCACCTAGCAACCCTGCAGCTAGCCTGGTCGACCGCCAACGCAGCTCGGTCGACCGCCTACCAGCATTGGGTAGAGGAGCCGCGCCAGCATTGCAGAAGGGCGACCTGCCAACAAAGCAGGTCGACGGCGTGCCCCGTAGAACACAGCAGTGCGCGCGCTCGCAGGTGTGCGCAGATGATTGGCCCGACTTGCCTCGTTGGGCATCCGTCGGCTGTTGTCTGCACCTGATGAGCCACATCGACTTCGGGATACCAGCCCGAAGTCGCCTGCGCCATCGCGATCTCCACGACGTTCGCGTGCCTCCGCAGAACTCGTCGAGCAGGTTACCCGGTCGACCTGGTCGACCCCTGGTGCTCTGGTCGACTCCCAGGTGCCTCCCGTCGACCACTGGGTCCCTCTGGTCAACCACCGGGCGCTCCTGGTCGACCACACCTCCCGTCAAGCTACCCCTTGGTCGACGGACCCCTTCCGTCGACCAGAACTGCTCCGTCGACCTCCCGGTCGAACTGCAGTTCGACGGGATGCTCCATTGTCCTCCCGGTCGAGCTGCAGTTCGACGGGAAGCTCCGTTGACCTCCCGCTCGAGCTGCAGTTCGACGGGACGCTCCGTTGACCTCCCGGTCGAGCTGCAGTTCGACGCGACGCTCCGTTGACCTCCTGGTCGAGCTGCAGCTCGACGGGATGCTCCATAGACCTCCCCGTCGAACTATAGGTCGACGAACTGCTTCGTCGACCTCCCGGACGGCTCACCCGTCGCCCAGGCCAGCCAGGTGCAGCTGTCGAGCACCCTGGTCGACAGCAACACCACAGCGGTCCGCTGCAGCTCGACGTAACCTGTCGAGCCGCTATCCCACTGTGAGCGGTCGGCTGCTACTCCCGTACATACGACCAAGTTGTCGGCGTTGCCCAAGCGAGGGCGGGGCCAACACTCCATTCCCGTTAACACTCCCCTGCCGCGCTCACGCTTGGGCCTCCAGCCCTCACGGCAGTACTCCACGGAGAGAACTCGTCCTCGGCGTGCACCCCACACAAAGCACGCCGTCACCGCACCAGCCGTGCAGAAGGGCACGGCACCTACTGCTGCACCTCGTCGTCGCCGTCGCCGACGTCGACTAGACGAACTTGGCCGATGGCGACAGAGCACCGGTTGAAAGCAGGAAAATGCAGCGCCTTTGTCATGAAATTGGGTTGTACCCCTTGTGGGCTACCCCACTACCGCCTACACAAATGTATAAGCTATAATGTTCTGACATCTACGAGCATCAAGATTTTACTTCGAATCGCCCAAGGGATGGTTGCACGGGAACGGGAGGTGGGGAGAGAAAACGAGCCTCGAGAGGGGGAGAGTCCTAGTGTTCCGGGTGCAATGAATCGAAGTAGCGAGAATTGCACTAGGGTGTCAAACGAGTACAACATGTGAGCGAAGGCATGAGCGAACATTTATACGCAAAACATGCAAACGGTAACGCGGTGTGTGCGAGCTTGTGAGAGTTGAAGAACAAGAATGATGAATGACTAAGGAAAGATGGGGTACAAATGCAACCCTAGAAACCTGTACCCCATATGTGCTACCCCACTATAGCCTACAGCAACTATGTCATATAAATCTGACACACCCCCATAGGCAAAGTGGGGGAGAACAAGGGGTCACAAGACCAGTCTAGCAAAGCAAAGCAAAGCTCAGGGTGGATCACAAAGTCACCACACAGTCCGAGCACAAGGTCAAGGCCAAAAAGGCCAGTTCACATGCAAGAGAAGGCATATATATATAAGGCTAAACAAGCAAGAACAGGTACATATATATGCAAGAGTACAGGCAAGGTCAAGAGGTAAGACAGGTACAAGTCCCAGCTGAGTGCAGAAGCGCTGATGATCGCAAGGCGGAAGTGCCTTGGTGAAAACATCAGCAGTGTTGGCATCAGAGGCCACGTACGCAAGTCGCAACTGACCACGCTGCTGCAGCTCCCGAGCAAGGAAGTAGCGGAGAGCAATGTGCTTCGTTCTGTGCTCCAAGCGCTGCTCTGGACACAAGGCCAGCATGGCCTTGTTGTCTACGTACAGCACTGGAGGAGAACGAGGCGGCTCTCCAAGGTCAGTCAGCAGGTAGGTGAGCCAGCGAAGCTCCTGTGCAGCCATGGCCCCGGCGTAGATCTCAGCCTCACAACTGGAGCCGAGAACAGAAGACGAGCGAGTAGCCCTCCAAGAGACAGAGCCAGAACCAAGACTGAAGGTGTACCCTTGCGACGACCGCTGCGTAGCCTGGTCGTCAGCCCAAGAAGCGTCCGCGTGACCAGTGAGGACCACTGGACTCCGCCATCCAAGCACTAGCCCCATGCCCGAAGTACTGCACAAGTAGCGCAACACCCTCTTCGCTGCAGTCATGTGCTCTGGTCGGTGTCTCCCAGGAGCAACATAACGTGCAAGAATGCTAAGAGGGTATGCAAGGTCAAGTCGTGTGCAGGTCATCAGGTACATGAGGCAGCCAACAAGCTCTGGGTACGGGCCACTCGGCTTTACGGACTCATCCGAAGGCAGAGCTAAGAGCGAGTGGCGAGTAGCCAGAGGAGTGGCCTGAGGCGAGGAGTACGTGAAGCCGAAGCGCTAAAGGACCTGCTGCACCATGTGTGAGTGAGTCAAGGTAATGGTGCGGCGTGCTCTGTCCCGAGTGATCTGCAAGCCAAGGTAGCTGCGTAGTTCACCCAGGTCTGTGCACGTGTGTCTCTTCAGCAGCTCGGACTTCATGTAGGCGAGTCCAGCAGTGTCAGCAGTGGCAAAGACCAAGTCGTCGACGTACACGAGGATGTAGAACGGCGGCAGAGAAGTGTCGGTGCGCAGAAACAACGACGGGTCTGGAGTAGAGGGAGCAAACCCAAGAGCCGCAAGCGTAGTCCTCAGTGTGTCGTGCCACTCACGCGGTGCCTGGCAGAGACTGTAGACTAGCCGTTGGAGGCTCCACTGGGTGCCAGGAGGGAAAGTCCCAGTGAAGCCAGGCGGAGGGCGCAGCCAGATCTCCTCGTGCAAGCTGCCCTGCAAGAAAGCAGTGCTGAAGTCAAGAGAGTGAAGCTCGTAGTCGCGCTGAGCGGCTATGTGTAGCAGCACCCGAAGAGTGGTCATCTTCGGGGTGGGAGAGAAGGTCTGAAAGTAGTCAACTCCCTGCCGCTGACTGAAGCCACGAGCAATGTACCGCGCCTTGAAGACAGGTGGAGAGCCAGGCAGCCGCTTCACCCTGAAGATCCACATGCCACTGACGATGTTCGCCCCAGGAGGGGGAACCTTGTCAACGTAGGTGCCTGTGGACTTCCTAGGAGGCCATCTCTGCATCCATAGCTGCCTACCACTGAGAGGAGTAGGGACCCTCAACGGCCTCCGCGTAAGAGCGCGGAGTCGGGATGTCTAGTGCATCCGGGTCTCCCTCAGGGGCAAGCAGTACAGACGCGAGATGAGGTGAAGCAGCAGCCAGACACTGGAACTCCTCCTGCCTGTCCTCAAGGACGTCCGTGCCAAGAGCACACTCACCCCCGACGGACGGAGGACAGACAGACGCAGACTCAGCAACAAGACAAGCAGCGTAGTCTAGACGACAGCGAGCAGCAAAGTCAACGAGCTCAGCG